TGCACATCAAACACCACAACTTACAACACTTTCAACTAGAGCTTTGAAACTTCCAGGGTAGACTTAATCGACTATGGTAAACCCGAATCTACAGTTAGAATTTACTGATTTTGACTTTCAAGTGACCTGATAGAAAAGTTCGACATTTTGAATTCAAATTATCAAAATTTCAAAATTAGATTCGAGTTCCCCGTAGTCTATTTAGTCTACTCTGCAATTTTTAGCCTTCTAGTGCAGATTGTCGTAAGGTTCGGTGTAACTGTAGCCAGTGTTTGCACATCAAACACCACAACTCACGGCACTTTGCACTAGAGTTTTGAAACTTTCATGGTAGACTAAATCGACTACGGGAAATTCGAATATGCCTTCCAAACCAACCTTAATCTTTAAGATCCTGTCGAAAAAGTAGATCAAATCCACGTGGACAACATCTCGATTCAAATAAGTTCCATTCACATACACACTTGCTGTTGAGTATCCGGCATCACTTCCGACGGCAAATGGGAAATATTTTCCGATTTTTGCGTATAAATCAGCATTGATTTCTGTGATCGGATCGGCTCCGTAGAATGAGATGTTGCGACCGATTTCGTTCATTTTCTAGAAAAACGTACAAATTTTTCGAAAACATGGAATTAAAATTTGAGTTCTACGCAGTCGATTTAGTCTATGTTGAAATTTTCAGAACGATTGTGCAAGGTGTCGTAAAATCTAGTGTTACTGTAGGCAGTGCTTGCACACCAGACACTGAAGCTTACGACACTTTGCACTAGACGGCTGAAAATTTCAGGGTAGACTAAATCGACTATAAGGAACGCAAATCTGAAATTAAATTGGGAAAATTTCGAATATTAAATGTGATTGGAGCGCGTTTGCTTGTTAGATCAGATAGCAAGGACTAGACTGGCATGTGTAATCTAGATTGTGTTGAAGAAAACGGAAATTTTCGAAGGCGAAGCTTTCCGATTTTTCGGAAATTTAGGATCTAGATAAAATCAAAAATCTTGATCGGAGATCAAAAATTTTCTACAAAATTACCTGTTTATACAAAAGTTCAGCATCAATGTCTTTTCCGATTCCCAAAGTGACCAAATTGCTAGCAGAGCCCAATGGGTCACTCTGTAAAGTACAGTATACCAATTTTTCAACGAAAAATCAATTAACCTCTACAGGCAACAATCCGTATTTCGTCTCATCACTATTTTGCAATGGCACCAGATTCAATTGATCGATTTCGGCTTTTCCGTCACATTCGTCTGTCCAAATTTGGAATTTCGCCCAGAAAATTTTATGATCCGTTTCGTTGAAGACTCTTTCTGCCATGCAACTACTCCATCTGTTGAATAGGGGCACATTTGGACGGAGACCCAAGATTCCGTCCTCAGATGTATGCTTTGTGGAGGTCTGCTGGAAATTCGAACGTTAGAATTGAATTTGGCATAGTCGATTTGGTCACTCCTGAAATTTTCAAAGCTCTAGTGCAAACTGTCGTAAGGTTTGGTGTTACTGTAGCCAGTGGTTGCACACGAGACACCAAATCTTACGACACTTTGCACTAGGGTGCTGAAATTTTCAGGGTAGACTAAATCGACTATGGGAAATTCAAATTTAATGTTTTCATTCTATCATTTTCAATGTAAAATGTCCTAATTGCCGATTTAAGTTTTTCGCTGTCAATATTTCCAAATTCTATTATTACCGTAAACACTCTAATAGAACGCCACCAAACCGGAAAGTTTGAGCCTATATATCTCGATTCCTGTAAAAGTTACCAAAAAATGGTCAACTGATAAAATGTTACTGATATCATGATAAACTTTTTATTAGTTGACAACTTTTTTATATCTTTCACAAGAAGTCAGATATATAGGCTCAGAGCGGACGATCCGGGTGGCGTTCTATTAGAGTGTTTACAGTATATGCTTGTTTCCCATAATCCATTTAGTTTACCATGAAATTGTCAAAGCTCTAGCGTCAAGTTTCGGAAACTTTGGTGTATGGTGTGCAAACACTGTCTACAGTAACACCGAACCTTACGACACTTTGAGTTAGAGCTCAGAAAATTTCAGGGTAGACTAAATCGGCGCTGGCAAATTCTAATTTGATATCTAAATTTTGATAGCTATCACTCACCTGCCCGTATAACAAAACGATTCCTAGAAAAATGAGTAGAATAATAAAAATTAAATTAATCGGTCTACCAGCACGAAAACTCATTGTCCTATGTCTGGCGAATTTTTGGACGAAACGAAATTTGCCATCTCAAATTTTGTCCTTTTTATTCTGTTCCGATGAATCGTTCCGGATTAGACGGGAAGACAAGAAAGATGAATATCTCCAATCTTCTTTTTTTTTGTTTCCAGTTTTATTTTTCGATTTCTAAGAGAAGATAAAGAACACAACGAAAGAATACGTTGGATTTTGAAACTTATCGTTCTTTTCTTCTGTTTTTTGTTTGCCCAGAATTTTCGGGAGAAATTCAGGTTTTTGGGATACAGTAGAAAGATAGAAGGTAGAATGGAAGATTTTGGGAGGTTTGGGGATTTCAAAGAAATGAAATTGACTTTGAAAATTGAAAAAAAAATCTGAAAAAAAGCTTAAATTTATGAATTTTTCAAAAACATAAAACTAATCTAAAATGTGAAAAAAACACAAATTTTTATTTTTTCAACATTTTTTGGATTTTCCCAGGATTCATCACATCTGCATTTTCCAACTTTTTCAGATTTTTCAAAATTTTCAGCTATCAAATTGAACTTGCCGTACCAGGCCAGCCTGGGCCGGAGACTTCCTGGGCCCGGCGTTTCCAGTGCCAGGCCCAGCGAGGCCCGCGGGCCGGGCCCTGTCCTTTTAAGTGTCGAGTACCGCCGAACAATTCCTTGATCTCCAAAAACAAAAAATTTCCATTTTAGAGATCAAAAATGTTCCCTTCTAATCTCGTTTCAATCTTTTCCAAAAACGGCAAAAATCCAGTTCTTTGAAAAGCACAAAAAATTCCGAAAAAACGATAAAAATCTTCTCCGGGCAGCTAATAAGATTTTCCGAATTCGAACGATTTGTTTCAAATTTTCGAAATTTCGGAAAATGGCAAGATTCTCAATTTTAAGTCTATTATTTGTGGTATTTTCTTTAGTGTTAGCAGTCTATTTTTTGATACAGGTGACTTTTTTAAATTTTTTCAAAATTCAAAAAAATTTAGATTTCTCCGGATCCTCAAATCTCTTCAAATCTGAAACGAAAAATTCTAGAAAACTGGTCAATATGCGCCAGAAAACAGTTGGATAAAACACACACAGCCGACGAGGTACGCAAACACCGAATTTTACGACGAATTGCGGACTTTTTTTTGGAAAAATTCAAATTTTCAATTGAAAAATTTTCAGTTTTGGCATCAATTCTCGTCGCTTACAACCTATTGCGATGTAGCTGAAAATATTGATTTATTGGGATTGATTTCTTTGAAAAATAGCGATGAAGTCAAATACGCTCTAATGCCAAAAAACCTCCCCACCAAAAATTCAACATTTAATTTTGTCACTCTGGGTATTGGAAAGGATATTACAGCAGAGAAATCGTTTAAAGAAGTGGGTTTTTGAATTCAAATTCCCGCCAAATCTCAATAGAGCGCACTTTATAGGAGGCCGAATTCCTCGGCTATCAAGGGAAATTCTATGGTGCGGACCCGATAATCGAAGATAATTCTCAGTTATTTTCTCAAATCGGAGAATATTTCCCGTTTGCAATTGGCGGGAAAACTGAAATTTCAAATGCAAGTGTGCTAAAAAATGGTACGTATCGAGAGGAGACAATTAGCCACGTGGAATTGCTGAAATTCCTGAAAGACGATCTGAAAATCGCTGAAATCGACCATCTATGGTTGGATGCCGAGGGGGCGGAGTTTGGACTTTTTGATTATTTCTATAATGATGGACCGTTGGAAAGGAATGGTATCAGTTTTTGTCAGATGAACTTGGAGGCAAGGAATTTTGAAATGTTCACATCAGATTTGAGTTCCCCATAGTCAATTTAGCTTACCAGAAAATCTCCTTAGACCCGATCTTTACGTTTTAGACATTTCAAAGTCCAAATTTACCGATTCTAACATGAAATTCGGATTGCCCATAGTCGATTTAGTCCACCCTAAAGTTTTCAGAACTCTAGTGCAAAGTGTCGTAAGTTGTGGTGTTTGGTGTGCAAACACTGCCTACAGTAACACCGAACCTTACGACAATCTGCACTAGAAAGCTGAAAATTTCATGACTGACTAAATCGACTATCGGGAACTCAAATCTGAGTTTAGATTCTTACTATCTCAACTCCTAATCTAACCTCTAACCCTTTTCCAGGTCCACATTGGCGACACCAATCGAAAAATCGAATTCATGAAATTCGCAAAACGTTTGGCCCACGAAAAACGTTTCGTAATGCTGAAAAGTGTCTATGTCAGTCATATTCGCTTCTTTTTGTTTAATTTCGGAAGTTCTAAATGTGTCGATAAATATCTTTAATTTTTTTCTGTTGGGTGTTCAATGGAGCACAATTGCAATTATTTGAAATTTTATTTCTTCTAGCCACGTTTATATTTAGTAAAAAAAAGTTTTTCAAAATTTTTCGAATTTTCGGTTAGCCAATTTGTCAATACTTTTGGTTCTAATTTTTCAAAAAACTTTCAATTTTCAGATTTTTGAAAAATGGCCCATTTCCGAATTTCCAAAATATTTCAGTTTTTCAGCCTTTAAATTTCCAGAAACCATTTTTCAAAATTTCTTGATCTCCAAAAACAAAAAATTTCCATTTTCTGAAAGTCAAAAATTTTCCCTCCAATCTCGTTTCAATCTTTTCCAAAAACGGCAGAAATCCAGTTCTTCCGGCCTTTGTGTGCTCTGCCATAGTTACCTTTGGAAAAAATATTGCTGGATCAGCTGGATTAGGTATGATAGAACTTGATAAGAACTTGAACATTTTTCATGAACAAAGTTACATGAAACTATGGCAGGATGCGCGAAGGCCTGACAGGGGCCCGGTCTGTTCTATCCGACTAACCCATCTGCAATCGAGGGTTGGTCTGGGTGGGACAAAGGATATATTGTGTGCTAACCAGACAAGGTCATACACTCCCCCCACTGGACTATCGACGTCTTCTGTGTATCGCTAATTTGCCACGTCATAAGACGTCCCTTTCTTCTTATGCAACTTCTCTCATTCTTCGATAAATACTGTTCTCTATAATCTTTTCATATTTTCAGAACTACAAAAAGAATGCGCCTATCCAAATATCCACATGTGGTTCAGAAAGAGATACTTGACAACATGGAATATCCCGATCTATTTCTGCTTTCCTTTGTCTCCTAAAAACATGATCAAACTAATTAAATTGTCCCAAATCAAACGATTCAAAAGTATCAATTATATTAGATATTATTGTTGTCTCAACAACCAACTGATTGTTGATATCTCATCCAAACACTATGGACACGAAAATTTAGTGAAAATCGTCGAGCGCGAGGAGATTAATAATGATTACTTTCCGTTGAACGTATCTGGAAAAATGATTGATTTTCAGTGAGTTTAAAGGAGTAATGGTCTATGAAAAAATGTTATTGCAGATTATCCGAAAAATTCGAATTCCCTGTAGCAGCTTATCATCTGTACGAAAAAGAATCTGTCATCCAATCCATGCATAATTATTTTGTTCATTTATTTGGAGATGCGATGGAGTACTGTTGGAAAACAGACGACCGCAAGACTCCTATTCCAAAACTACAGAACTTATCAGCATGTATTAGAGTGTATATTAGCCCAAACTATGGTGACATGAAAACCATAGAAAACTTTCTCTCCTCAATCCCTGTCCTGAAATCTGTTGATATTTTCGCTCAGCTGACAACAGAATCATTCAGTTCGGAATCGGCAATCTATCAGGCAGAATCTATTAGGACCAGTCAACTTATTCACAGTTTTCCTGAAGTTTTACGTTATTTTCAAGGAAGATAAGCATTCCTAAGCTTCTGTAATTACGAAGTTTTCCGATTTGATTAAGTTTGTGAACAGTCGGAAAGCAGCAGAAGCGTTTCAGAAGCTGGAATACTTGGAAATCGAATTATATTTGGTTGATTTTCCCAAGAATCAAATTCTGAATGGAATTGAAGCTGAATATATTGCTCCAACAATGAAACCACCCACACACACTTTGCCGAAACTGTAAGTTTTTTATACGTTAAAATCTTTGAGCCAAACTTTAAGCTAATTTATGTTCCTATAAAGGATATCAAAGCGTTGTCAACAAATACATGATCTCTCATAATGTCACAAACAATTTATTAGTTGACACGTTTTTGATATATTGCATAGGAATGGAGATAATTGACCTCAAACTTAAGGGGGTCTTATATTAGGTTGTATAATTCGCGTTTGGTGTGAACTAACTTGATTTCCAGCTACCGTAGTTATTTAAAGGATGCATTGAATCTTGTATGCGTTGCTAGAAAGTGCTTCATGATGATGGAGAAAACCTTCTTGATTAATCATATCTTGCTTCAGTCTTGCATGAAGTCAAAATGAATAAAAACCGCGCATTATTTTTCAACAACCTCATACTGCTGGTAGTTCCTTTCTCTGAAATAAGAAATCACTTTTCAGGTACATTGGAAACGATAACAAAACAAATACTGATCCAATCATCAGCCATACATATGTTGTCAGAGAATCAGTTAGTCATGTGGCGTCTGTTCTGATTCGGGAGAAGAAACTCTTCTTTGGAGTATGGAATATGACAGAGAAAGAGTTTTTGAATATGGTGGAATAGTTCCAAATTGACTGGATTTGTATCTCTTGTGTTAATTTCTTTCTGTGATTTTTATTGCACTATTTTAAATGCATTCATCTTCATCTTTTTTTGAATTTTTAATGAATTTTAAAGTTTTCATGTTACAACATCTATAAACATTCTGGCAACCAAAACACTATAAACCCGACCCAAAACCCGATCTTTAAGACATTTCAAACTCGAAATTTAACATTTCTAACATCAAATTCGGATTGCCCATAGTCGGTTTAGTCTACCCTGCACGTTTCAAAGCTCTAGTGTAAAGCTGTGGTGTTTGGTGTGCACATACTGCCTACAGTAACACCGAACCTTACGACAATTCGCACTAGAAGGCTGAAAATTTCAGGATAAACTAAATCGACTATGGTGAACTCGAATCTAATGTCGGAATTTCGATATTTCGACTCCTTAGACCCGATCTTTACGTTTTAGACTTTTCAAAGTACAAATTTACCTATTCTAACATTAAATTCGGATTGCCCATAGTCGATTTAGTCCACCCTAAAGTTTTCAGAACTCTAGTTCAAAGTGGCGTAAGTTGTGGTGTTTGGTGTGCAAACACTGCCTACAGTAACATCGAACCTTACGATACTTAGCACAATCGTTCTGAAAATGTCAGAATAGACCAAATCGACTACGGGGAACTCAAATCCGAACTCAGATTCTCACTATCTTAACTCCTAAACCCGTTTTCAGGTCCACATTGGCGACACCAATCGAAAAATCCAATTCATGAAATTCGCAAAACGTCTGGCCCAAGAAAAACGCTTCGTGATGCTGAAAAATGTCTATGTCAGCCATATTCGTCTCTTTTTGTTGAATTTTGGAAGTTCTAAATGTGTCGATAAATATCTTTGATTCTTATTTCTTTAATTTTTTGTTGGGTGTTCAATGGAGCGCGATTGCAATTATTTCTTCTAGCCACATTTATATATAGTAAAACAACATAAAAGACAAAGGGGAGAAATACTTTTTCGAATGTATGTGGATGATACAAAAAGAAAAATTTAAAAAATTTTGTGGGAAAAGTGGGCGGGGCTAAAAAATAATCAATATTTCGGGGGTGGGAAAAGCAGAAAGAGATGATGATTGAGGCGCGGCGATTTGATAAAATTATAAAAAATTAAGCAATATATCGGGGTGGTGTGTGTGACAAACTGTTTCTAAAAATAGTGAGAGAGTATTGAACAGAAAGAGGGTGGCGAGAGAAAAAGAGAAAAAAAAGTGAAGCGATATCAAAACGGAACAGGGTGGGGGAGTGCTTTTTTTGGGACGATTTTGGAGTGAATTGGGTGTTACCAGGGACAAAAGCTACCGTAGTCTTGTTACAAAATATAATATATATGGAACATGAAGAAAAAAGCGGAGAGATGTAGAGATACTGAAAATATGCGGGTGGCAAAAAAAATATTAAATTTGAAAAGGGAAATTTTTGTAGGCGGGGCGGGGCTTAAGGGGTGATCAGCAGAGGTTGTGGATGAGGAAGAAGAAGAAGCCAAAATGTGTATAAATTTTGGTAGAAAAATAAATGAAAAAAAGATAAAGATAAGAAAAAAAAAAGAAATGATAAAATTTAAAAAAAAAAGAGAAAAAGACAATCAATATCTAGCCAAGGAACGAGTAGTCATAGTAATGATCGGGTGGTGCCGTGCCATTGCCATTGAACTCTCCACCACCACCACCACCACTGCCACTTGGTCCATCTGATGGTCCCGATGGTCCACCGTTTCCAGAGTTGTTGTTGGGTTGGTGTTGTTGGAGGATCGACGGTGGCAACATGCCGCACTCGACCAGTTTTTCGTTGATTTTTCTCGACAATTGGGTCACTTCGATCTTCGTCGTCACCACTGAGATCACTCGCTTATCGTGCTCGGTCTGCAAATGGGATAGTTAAAGATTGTCAGTGAAGCGCGTTTGCCAAAACTTCCAGTTCTTTTGGAGACCCCGCAAATTCCGGAGAAAACATTTTCCGGAGAAAAGTGGGCGGAGTCAGACGGCGGAGCCTAAATTGCAACCCTGGCA